TCAATATTATTATCAATTCGATAGTGATCAGCTTAAATTGATTTTTATCGATCAACATGCAAACTTATATAATTGATAAATGAATGTAATAATTGACAGAAAAGATGTTTATCAATTTGCAAATAATCGAAGCATTAATTTGGTAGTTTTAGTTCTCTAGGGAATGTGATTATGAGATATTTGTTGTTATGTGATAGATATTTTTTGAATATAAAAGTCTTTTCGAAAGGATCTCTTCTAAGTGAATCGAATTAATATGTGGTTATTCTCAAGATTTTATTGTAGAAAATAAGTTCTCTTTAATTTAAAAATGATATAATAATATTCGTGATTGGTGATAATATTGTTAACATATATTAGTAATGATGTTTTGATCTACTAATGTTATTGAAATAGATGGCATATAACATTGTCTTATTATTTTGCTTAGATTTGGAATTCGATAATTTATCATAATATAGAACATTGTGACATAAATCTAATTTGGATGTATGTATGGAATGTATGGACCTTTTCATTTCGTCAAATATTGGATTTTAGCCAATGCAAAAATAATATTAATATAACCTTTGTCTTATTTGTATTTGTTTTGTGATTAGCATGGAAAGAGTATTGTAAAGTAACTAACAATAATTTCTCTATGTAGATACATATTCGAATATATGATAAAAATAATAGACACTAGCAAAGAACTGATTTCAATGGGTATTTATAGAAAAGATACGTTAGTAAAGCATTATTTGTTAGACTTTTTGTTTTTAAATATTGATTTAATTGAAGATCATCGATATAGTAATGGAATCTAGATAATTTTAAACGAAGATAATGTTTTTGATTTGTTTGAAAATTAGGAAGATTATAATCAATAAGAAAAACATGTATAATTGCAATTTTATTCCTTCTATTTCAGGTGGATTTATCTATGCTAATTGTTTGATATTCACACTGATTTTAATTGTTGTTTGTCACATAATAACAGAAAACATGTCCGATACACTCAATTGACTTCATTACTGTGTTTGTTCTGGAACATAGAAATAGATACATACGTTTCTATATAGTTTATGCAATGATTGCAATACAAGGAAGATCATAAAGAAAAAGTACACGTAATCAGACGACATACAATATGCTCAACATAAACACAATTATTTATTAGTAAAAGATTTTAATGAATAATTATCTGTCAGATTATGGTTATCGTTCAATTTATGGTGATAGAAGTTATGAAGAAATTTGTCATCAATGCTTACGAGGTAACTACCTCCTAAACTAGTATCCACCGTTTGCACTCATATTGCATTCACCAGGAAGTCAAGGTAAAACTAGAAAAGTTCTAAAAGGATTCGTGTTCATGAGCCTCTAAAGCCGAGCAATAACAGTTTTATTGTGTTTTCGATACGACGATAGCTATTTATCGAAAAACCTAATAATAATATTTCGACCTGAAGTTTAACCCATAAAATGGTCGTTTGCAACAAAAATCGAGTGTACTCGAAAATTTCATATCACGGCAAAGGAACACTCTTTTCGGCTAATAATTTCAGAATATTCCCAGAGTCATCACACCTATGTATGGGTGAGATGTCAGATCGAAATTTCGTTATTTTGTTTTTCGACAATTACCTAGAACTGAATCGAAAATCTACTAAAACGGTCATAGCTTAGCTCTAGAAGTTCATGGATATAATCGCGTTTAAGAATTTTCTAGTCTTATCGAGACCTTCTTGTGAGTCAAAATCAGCTCAAACGGTGCATATCACTTCGACTAGTTCCCTAGTTAGTTTTTGTACTTAGTAAGAAAATTCATTTTCTTAGTTCATATAGAGTTTCTTCTTTTCTTTTTTTTAGGCGTTGTTCACATCAGATCTTAATTTAAGATGAACAATGATTATCTTGGATATTCTTATTGTTCATTGGATCATCATCTACTCGTTTTCGAAGATTTTGTTTGTGTATAATACAATTGTATTGATGTAAATAATTTTCTTATGTTCATTTGTTTATGTTACAACTATGTCATGTTTTTGATAATAGTTTTTTAATTGTTTGATATTAAGATGAAATAATAATAAAGGTATGCACATGATTTATCACGTGAACATAAACTTTCAACGTGTGTTGAATAAAACACTATCAGTTGTGATTAACAATAGTATGGACTAACTATTTAAAAAAAAATGCTATATAGAACTAGGTTAAATGTTTATCTACTTGAAAAAAAAGTTATGATGCCTCTTTTAGTCTTCACTGACAAGACAAAAAATTAATCAAAGAAAAAAAACAACTAAGATAAGATGGTTATCAAGGGATATTTAACTAGGTTTTTTCTATTTTCATTATATCAATTACACTTGCAATTTTTTTACTATGTCACGAAGTTATTATACATTTGTTCTACTTTGTTTCTTTGCTCTTAATGTCATAATAATTGAGAGTCGATCAATATCCGAAGATACTATTAAATCTATTCTCAGTGATCCATTGAATGATGATCATCGAAAGTTATTACATGCTTTTACTGGTTATCGTCATCGCTTTGAACAATCTTCTAATTTCAAAGCACTTCGATGGACATTAGGAAATCAAAAAATGTCTGGATTATGTGATCTTTGTGATCTAGGCGTACCTCTAGTAAGTTAATATGTTAATTTTCAATTTTAAAACTTGTCTTCAATTCTATATAATAGATTCGATTACTCCTTGAACTTAATCAAACTAGTCTCATTGACGAAGTAGTTGGCATCTTTTGTAGAGAATATATTTTACTTGATGAAAATGTCTGTCTTGGTGCTGCTCATGAATATATGGTAAGAAAATTTTGTTTGTTTTTCAAAAAGAAAGATTTCTTTTGTTTAAATAGGGTGTAATGTTTCAAGTTGTTGAATTAGCTCATTTTAATAATAAACAACTTTGTTCATTAGCATTTGAATGTGAACCACAAAGAGATTTTCCTATTTTTAGTTGGAATGTAACATTTCCTGATAAACCAAAACCATCACCTAGACCGCCACAACCTCCATCAGTGAGTATTATTTAAATCAAATTTCATAATCAAAGTATTTAACAAAATTAGTTCTGTTTTGAACGAATGATTAAATACACAGCGATACGATACTTTGTTTTTTATTTATTGTAGCCAGATTCACCAAAATTGAATATTCTTCATTTGTCTGATTTGCATGTTGATTTTTCCTATAAACCAGGATCACAAGCTGATTGTTCACAACCTTTATGTTGCAGAGCAGGTCAACCAGGTAATTATTATTATGTATGATGTTTTATGAATCATATTTTAATATGTCTTACTTTATTTTCCATAGTTCCTGGTCATATAGGTGCTGGTTTTTGGTAAAGAATTCGAATAATTTTGAAGTATATTATATTTATATCGATGCTTTAGGGGTGATTATCGAAATTGTGATATTCCTTTTTGGACAGCTCAAGCTCTATTGAAATATGCTGCCGAGATCGAAAAAGTAATTTTCATCGATGCAAATTCATTTTATGTATATATATTATTTTTGACAGGTAGATTTTATTTATTATACAGGTGATTTACCAGCTCATAATGTTTGGAATCAATCTCGTACTGATCAACT